TACGCATTATTATGTGTTAAAGCCCCTACCAGAAGAGGGAGGAGAGATTTTGCTACTGTTGATGCCATTCCTTTGTTCCCATGATTGGGCAGAAACGAGGTGGCTTTACAACTAATGATTCTAATTGCTTCCTTCTTGAAAGCAATTTTATCTCCGAGTTAGCCTAGTGGGTTCTCCGCTGGTGTGCCCACCTCATGAACTTATCCTCCTCGGGTACTGGGATGCAGAAAAATGTCAAGATCTTTTAGTTTGGGGGTAAAATACGAAATTCTTGGCATAGAATATGAACTTCTCTCTATTTAATTTTCTTCCATTTTCCACACTGAACTATAATACCACTTGGCACTTTAAAAATTCCTCACTTACTGGATCCTATTTTCTCTACCTGAATGATCTAGTCTCATTCCTGGTACCATAGCCCTGTAATCCACCAAGTCTAACCATTCTTGCCCTTTCAAACTTCAAATGTATAAATCCTTTCTAACCCTCCACACTGAGCTAGACGTGTCCTGTCATGTTTCTTTTTTTTTTTTTTTTTGGTATCTTTTAATTGAACTGTATTAAATAGAATAAATTAGAATTACTATGTTCAGAGCATAAAAGCTACCTGAAAGAAACTTGATAGAGGTTTTCTCAGAATTGACAACTGACAGTCCTAAAAGTTTACATGATTTTACCAATAATGAGAAATAAAATTGACAAGAACATTTTTTAAAAATTAGAACCTCCACCATGAACCAGTGTCATCGTCATGTTAGAGGGAAGTGTAAATTATCTCTATATTCTCTTTGTAGAAAATGATATTTTAGAATTGTCATAAGAAGAGTTAATTGAAGATTATACTGCCAACATTATAGAAAGAAAGTATTAGAGAGGCTTGACAGACAAGTAATAATAAATATGTTACATTATTTTTCTGAATTTTAGATTAGCTGTGATAGTTGTTAGCTTTTAATAATTTATAGTTTCTTCTGATTGATTTTCTCATTCTAAATTAACTTTTGTAATTTTTTATTCATAATTATATATATATATATACACACACACATATATACACACATACACATATAATGTATACACACACACACACATATATAAAACAGAAGCTCTCAAATTACATGACCTTCAGGCCTAAAAAATCAACTCTTTCTGTATAGACTAACAAAATTATCAATTATGCTTAAAATCTTGTTTTGAATCATTTTTGGAAAATCATTGATATACTTGACATAAATTAAATTTGGAAATCCTGAGTTCAAAATTGAATGTGGGTGGTTTGTTTTATGTATTGCCTTACCAAGTGACTAATCCTAAAACAAGAGCTTGAACATTAAGTACTACACCCTATGACACTTTTTATTGTAAGCTTTTGTGACCAGTTATTAATTGAAAAATTTAGAATAAATGGCTAATAATTACATAATTATTCAAATTCCAAAAAAGAAGCAACAAAGGAGACATTTCTTGATATAAAATTATATATATATCATAAGTATAGTGCTTAAGTGGATGAATTCTTTTAGTAACTTATGCCATCAACTTAATCTGTCAAGAGAGTGGGTGCTAATGAAGGAGTGAATGGGAGGAAAGAGAAAGCAGGCAGTTGTTCCTTCATGTTAAGTTGAAGGGCTCTTATTGCTGTTTGGCAGCTGCAATAGTAAAGAATTCTGCTATATTAATATCTTGATAGGTTTTATATTTCTACTTTCTAATTTTCTTGTGGCTTATACCTCTCTCTCTGTAATTCCTTTAAGCATAATTCTCTCACCTTCATTAATACATCCTAGAGCATCTTCAAAAAATGTCATAGGAAACATCCCTTAGGAAATGAAAATCTAAGTCCCTTTTGCCATCTAGGCAAATTAGAAGCCTATAGAAATGCTATATCATTTCACTCCAATCGAATGCAATTGTAGCATAGATTTATCTTTTAATGGTTCTAAGTATCATCTTATAGAGATGCTATAAGCTAAACACAAGTAGTAGCAAAAGAAATTCTAAAAGTAGTTCTGACAATGTAATAGTTACCTTCCCAGCCAGATTATCTGTATTCATGGTGGGGGTAGCTGTGGTTTCCACAGAGAATCTTTGCACAGAGTTTTACCCCTTTGGTTGAGAAAGACAAAGGCTGAAAGTTAGAGAATTTAAAAGATTATATGCTGAATGTAAAAAAAAAAAAAAAAAGAAAAGAAAAAGAAAGAAAGAAAAGGGAAAAAGGAAGGGGCAGGTATAGCTATTCAAGATCCAAGTTATTTTGTGTGGACTTGAATAAGACAAGAGAAATGTAGGTCAGTAGCCTTAGAGATGAATTCTTGGCAGAAAAAATTTGGAAAATCACCATACTTGAACTTTATTTTACATTTTCTCTTATTATGTCAGATAGTATACACTGACACAAGAGTGGTTAATAAAAAGGGAGAGGGAGAAAAGGTGATGGGCAAAGCACCCCCTAAGGGTCTTGATCATGCCACAACCCTTTTTCTTCCAATATTCCATCCCATCAGGATCCTGGCCACTCAACCATACACCTGATATGTAAGCTGCCAGGGCTAGAACTCTAACCCTGGTTGGCCATAATGGACAACTTTCTATGCACAGTGCTAAGCCACTGCATTCTGGGGCTAGCCCTGTACTTGAATTTAAATGGACTTCACCAGACATCTGACACTTAAGTATGTATAAGCATAACTTATAATATTTTATTTGCTAACAATTTTAATACACTAATCTCTCAATACTTATGCTGGCTCTCAAATCTAAATTGAAAACAAGTTGTGTTAAAACCTTTCTGCCTAGAACACTGTTTTGAAATTAATTCTTCAGTATTTAAATGAGATATTTTTAAGATATACAGTAGTATTTGTTTTTAATCATTTTAACTAAATACACGATTGTTATTTAATTTGAATAATAATTATTTGGTATAATAACAAAGAAATGTCTGTAATATATTGCTTCTTCAATTCAAAAGATTATGTATATACAATTTTGGTAACCACTGGAGCAGTTGTTGTGGAGAAGTAGGTCAGCTGTCCTTAACACCTAAGGTTCTGAAATAAATTAAAAACACAGGGGTGATCCTAAATTCAATATGACTTCAGTAAGTGAAGAATTGTCTCATATGTTCATACTTTTATTAGGATATTTACAGGAAGCATAAATCCATTTATGGCAGAGTAATTTAAAATAAAATCTGGAGAGGGCCCAGCAGGTGGCGTAGTAGTTTAGGTGCTGGACTCCCACATGGCTGACCACAGTTTGAGCCCCAGACCTGGTGGCTTGAAAATCACTCTGGGCATGTGTGTGCGCATGCTTAAAATCTCAGGAGTAGAATGGAGGAGAGGGGATTGCAGCATGGCCATCCCCACTGGGAGATTATTTCTTACTTTCCCTCACTGTCTCTCTCTGTCTCTCCACTCTCCAGCAAGTGCAGACATCTTATGGCAAAAACCTTAAAAAAATAGAGAATCACCAGAAGGTCAAGACATCTTTAAAAAACAAAAACAAACAAAAACTAACAAGAAAACATGAATGATCTGAAGGCAGGAGCCAAGTTAGTTCAGGGGACTTCATCTGCAGAATGTGTGAGCATTTACTCTACTTCTCTGAGGTTATGTGACTTATCCTATCTAGATATGCTAGTTTTTTGTTTGTTTGATTGATGTTTTTGCCATAGGATGTGGCACATGTGCTTGCCAGAGAGAAAGACTGACAGAAACAGTGAAAGGGAAAGTGAGAAATCACTCCCTGGGGTGGGGGGCTGACCATGCCACAATTCCTTCTCCTCCATTCTCCTCTTGGGATTTTGGGCAAGCACACGTGTCTGGTGTGTTTTTTCAAGTCACCTGGTTTGGGACTCAAACTGTGGCCAGTTCTGTGGGAGTCCAGCAATATAACTGCTACAGCATCTGCTGGCCCCAAGATACACTGATTTCTTACCATCCTGCTCCCAGATGATTTTTTTTTCCTCCAAGTCTCTGCAGAAAAGTCTAATTGGCCATCTGCTTAGATTGTGGATTGGTTATTCTGCTAGGTTGGGTGCAGGCAGCTGTGGTATGGCTGAAGAGGTCCTCTGCTGTACTGCCCCACCTCAACGGCGGGAACTGTGAACGAAGCAGGTTCAGCTTTAAGAGGTCGAGCATAGTGGCAAATGGTATGGTTAATATATTAAATAAGGGCTTAATCACTAAGCTCATCAGGTGAGGTATCTTGCCCACTGGAAGGTTTATGGGAGGCTTCATGGAGAAGATGGTAATTAAACAAGATGATAGAAGTTGAGTTGGATTTAGATAACTAGAGTGTGTACGTGAAGAAGATGCTCTCAGTACTGAAGCAACATGAGCTAGGTTGTATAGTTGTGTTTGCATTTGGATGGATCAGTCTGGCTTACCAATCTGCAGTGTAGCTGCCAAGAATCACCTTACCAGCCTATGCTAGTTACTGGGTTCCTACTTAGACTGAAAAAGAATCTCAGGGTTTGTGGTTAGAGCAATTGAAGGTTCAAAAGTTCCCCAGACAACTGTGATACATAGAGGACTGAGAACCACTGGATAGCTAGACACTACAATACATTGTGATTTTGCGAAATATAGTTGGAAAACGATGTTCAAACAAGAGCGGAGGCTTCTCTGTATCAGGCTCAGGACCTTCTCAGCTATTGGGTCATTGGAAAAGTTGTGACACATTTTTGCATAGAAAAACACATCATGACTTTTCCAATGACCCAGTATATCCCATGGGTAAGTGAAGGCACCAGGATTCACTGTCCCATTAGTTTCTGTTGTTTTCTGAGCCTAACATATTTGTATCTATTTAGAGTCTGTTCAGGACAGTAGAGGAGGGAAAGGAAAGTTAGGGGACCTAGTCTGTGTTACACATGGTGATCATTAATAATGTCATGTGTCCATCACTTCTCTTCTACAGTGGATGTTCTAATTCCAGATTTAGTTTTCTAAGTAGAATTATTGAAGTTGTGTAATGATTCTTTCTTTCCTCTTTAGGGGAGTCGGCTGCATCTTTGTTGAAATGATCCAAGGAGTTGCTGCTTTTCCAGGAATGAAAGACATTCAAGATCAACTTGAACGAATATTTCTGGTAAGTTATTTGCAGAGTGCTTCTGAAAACAAATTGATTTCTAATTAGTCACTTAGTGACAAATTTTACAGTGGTTAGTAAAGAATAATGGAAAACAAATGTATCTATTGTCATGTTTAGTTTCTAATATGGTTTTTGACCTTTGAAAAAGCAGAAAATCTCATGAACTACTATACATGAGCGATATGCTAAAATGTAAAAAAAAAAAAAAAAAAAAAAGTAAAGAAAAAAAGAGGGTGTGAGAGATAGTATGGAGCAATGAGTTAAAATTGAGACCAGACGGTACTCCAAATAAAATATACAGATTGCCACTTCTCATCACTCATCTCCTTTGGTAACTGTATTTCATAAAGTAGAACCTGAAAAATAGTGGGTATAGGGGAGAACAGTGATTTTACAATGGAGACACCTGGCGAGGGGTCTTTATGGTAGTATCTTCAAAAATAAGTCATGTTGGGAGCTTGTGCCCTTGATATGATATATTGAAAATGGACCTTCGCTTCTGTGATTCTTGTCTCAAAACCATAACCCGAGTCTATTCTGGAAAAACACTTACAAAAACAGACTGATGGACATCCAACAAAATACCTGGCTAGTACTCTTCAAAACTGTCATGTTCATCGAAAACCAGAAAAGTCTGAGAAATTGTCACAGCCTAGAGGAGGCAGGGAAGGCATAACAATGCAACATAATGTGCTCTCCTGCACATATTCCTGGAATAGAAATACACACATTAGGGAGAAATTAGTGAAATCTAAGTAAGTTTAGATTAAATTAGTTCATATCAGAGTACCAGTGTGCATTCTCTAGTTATGACAAATGTACTCCATTAATGAAATTTTAAAGAGAAACAAAACTGGGTGAACAATATACATGAACTATCTCTATTCTGTTTTTTAACTCTTGTATAAATCTAATACTATTCAAAAGTATTCTGGAGCTAGACTATCTGGATTTGAACCCTCCTCTGCATTTTTTAATTATGTGACTTTGGGCAAAAGACTTATGAGCTCTCGGGAACCAGCAGTTAGCGTAATGGCTATGTCGCTGGACTCCCATGTAGTCGACCGTGGTTCGTGTCTCGGACCCAGTGGCTTAAAACTCATGCCGGGCGCATGTGCGTGCGTGCCCAAGATCCCGAGAGGAGAATGGAGGAGAAGGGATTGTGGCGTGACCATCCCCCCTGGGGGGTGATTTCTCGCTTTCTGTCTCTATGTCTCTCTCTGTCTGTCTGGCGAGCGCCCTACAGTGAAAAAAATCTCTCAAAAAAAAAAAAAAGACTTATGAGCTCTTTGAGATTCATATTCCCATGGGCAAGATGAGAGTTTAATAATATTACCTACCTCATAGGATGCTTTGAGGGATAATTGACTTGATGCAGATAAAGTACTCTTAGAACTTTGCTTGGCACATAGTGATATACTCCATAAACATAAGTTGTTATTTTCATTATATTGTTTTATGCCAAATATTTTTATTCAGTAAAATTTTCACATTAGCTGATAGTCTTATAAACCTATTATTTAAAAAGGGGAATTTGGAGCTAATAGACAAATTAAGGTTTATGTTAAATATTGATAGATTCAAGCTATGTACATAATAGCCAGCAACATTACCCTCCTTTCCCTTCTTTGATAAAACTCCTGTGTGAAATCACTGAGGTTGATTTTAATATGACCCATATCAAGAGTTGTATTTACTAGATGACTACTCATTTTTGTTAAGCAAGTACAGCATTAAACAATGGCTATCATAATAAGTGTAAGAACCATAGCAGGAGGTAGTGATATGAATTGAAACTTCACTATTGTGTTCACCTTGATGTCAGCAATAAAGTAATTTTTAAGAGGAGATAGGAAACCAGGAAATTAAAGTGCACACAATTCCTCCTATTATTGTCTTCTGTCTTAGTGAATTCCTGTATATTAGTAGCAAATAGACAAATAACAAGAACCCCTAACAGAGACCCTCTTCCAAGTGTTATCTTATTGTTTGCTTGTTGTTTCCCCTCCCCAAGAAACAGTCTGTCTATAATCCCTTTACATTTGATTTGATTTGATGTCTATAAATTCACACACACAAATGTTAAAATGATTTTTTTAAGAGATATTTTTTTATATTGGGCACCTACAGTCACCAGAGAGAGAGAGAAAGTGAGAAATCACTCTCCAGGTAGAATGGTCACACCACAATTCCTTCTCCTCCAGTCTCCTCTTGGGATTTTGAGCATGCACACAAATGCTCCTGGCATGAGTTTTAAGTTGCCAGATCTCAGACTTGAAACCTGGTTAACTATATGGGAGTCCAGTGACATAATCATTACACCATCTGCTGGTACCAAAATGATTTCTTAAGATTATAAAAACAATGCATATTTATAATAGAACATTTCCACAATGTCAGAAACTGGGAAGGCTGAAAAATCATTCTTGCTCCTGTGACCCAGAAGATTAAGTATTTGATATCCAAGGAGACTTCAAAAGTTAATGGAAAAAAAAGAATGATTTTACAAGTTTATTTTGGTGCAAAATTTTTTTTAATCCATGAATAATTTTTTTTTCTTTTTTTGGAGAGGTTTTTGCTATAGGGCACGTGCGCTCGCCAGACAGAGAGCGACATAGAGACAGAAAGCGAGAAATCACCCCCCAGGGGGGATGGCCATATCACAATCCCTTCTCCTCCATTCTCCTCTCGGGATCCTGGGCACGCACGCACACGCACCCGGCGTGAGTTTAAGTACCGGGTCCGGGACTCGAACTGCGGTCGACTACGTGGGAGTCCAGTGACATAGCCATTATGCTAACTGCTGGTCCCGATGAATAATTTTTTTATAATATACATTTTCATTAACTTTTTAAAGACTCCTTGTATATCCTTCATAATTTTCTCCTATACATGTCTAAAAATATTCCTTCATTTTCTATACACATTCCATAAGTTTTCCATTTCACAATATGTAATTAACACCTTTCATTGAAAATAAATTCACAAGCCTGTCATAATTCTTAATGAAAGAATGATAATATTGCATGACTGACACATTTGTTTTTATTATGTTTTATTATTTTTATTTACTTTATATATTTTATTATCTTTTATAAATTCAATCACTGTATATCATTACAGCATGCAAAATGATTTTCCCACAAATCCACTCTGTATTTATCCAGTTAAAGATATTATCATACATGTTATTTAACCAGTCCAATATTGGTAGCTTGTTTCATGATAGCTAAAACCTGCCAGAAACACCTGTTATGGGTTTCCTATTAAGAATGATTGTTAGTACTGAAAGTCCTTAATTCAATAAGATTTAATTTTCACTATTTTATTCACTATTTTTACATGTTTGTTCCTTCATCTAAACTCATGAAACCTTTATTTTTCCCTGTTCCCAAGAAAATTTCATATTGAATTCACTGGGATTATATTGAGTCTATAAAAATAATAGGAAATTGACATTTCCTATCCATGAATAAATTATTCACATTTTATGTCCCTTAGCACTAATATACAGTTTTTATAAACATATTTTCTATTCCTTTTCTCTGCTTGAAACTTTATTCTCACGTAATCATTTTGAATAATCTTCCTACAATTATTTTCTTAAAAATATAAACTTTCTGAGGCCAGCAGGTAGTGTGGAGATTAAGGTGCTGGACTCCTACATGGCCAACCGTGGTTCAAGTCCCAAATCAGTCAGCTTGAAAATCATGCAGGCTATGTATTTGTGCATGCCCACAATCCTAGGAAAAGAATGGAGAAGGGATTGTGACGTGGTCATCCTCCATGGGGAGGGGGGTGATTTCTCACTTTTCTTCTTTCTGTTTCTGGTGAGTATACAAACCTCATGGCAAAAACCTACAGGGGGAACAACTTTCCAAGGGCCAGCAGATGGCATGGTGGTTAAGGCAAATGGCAGACAGCGTGGATGAGTCCTGGACACCAAGGCTTAAAAATCACACTCAGTGCATGTGTATGCATGTCCAAAATCCTGAAAGGAAAATGGAGGAGATTGCATCATAGCAATCCCCCCGGGGCATTATTTCTCACTTTCCATCTCTCTCTCTCTTTCTGGCAAGCGCACACAACCTATAGTAAAAACTAAAAAACAAAAACCAGGACCAGCAGTTGTGGTAATGGCTATGTTGCTGGACTCTCATGTAGTCAACCACAGTTTGAGACCCTGATCCAGTGGCTTAAACTCAGGCCAGGCACATGTGCATGAGTGCCCAAAATCCCGAGAGAATGGAGAAGAAGGGATTGTGGCGTGACCATCCTCCCTGGGGGTGATTTCTCACTTTCTGTCTCTCTGTCTTTCTGGTGAGCACACGTGCTCTATAGCAAAAATCTCTCAAAACACACACACACACACACACACACACACACACACAAAGCACTTCACATATTTTATCATTAACAAAACAGCAGGGGAGGGAATTTTAATTTTAATGGGCTGTAGTTTGTATCACATAGATTTTTATGTTAAAACCTATCTCCAAATATTTTAACTTTTTAATTTATTTAAAACTTGACTATAAATAAAATATCTCTAAATTATATTCTAAAAATAATTTTCTAAACTTTAGATTCCACTTAGCTTTTCACTCTCTGATAGCTACTAAAAATAATTACGTAACCTTTTCAATTACTGATTATTTTTTGCTGAAGGCATTAATTACTGTATTTCAAATCAGAAAACTTTAAAAGAGAATCATATAGAAAGAAATATTTCTACTTATACAATTACTTCAGAATGTATTTAAAAGGAAAGGAAATGGTTATATAAATGATATGTTTTATGATAAACCAAAAATGAGTTTCATGAAAGCATAATTTATTGACATAACTTAGTCAACGTTTTCATTTGAAATATTTGCATAACGTGAGTAATTTCCAATGGGTAATAGCTTGTTGGATAGCTTCCTGTATGGAGATCTTGGTATTATTCCCTAATTGTATGCCAATAGCTTCCTAATTTTATGGGTATTAAGAGACCT